TTCCCCCCAAGGTTCATGCTTTTTTCCCCCCCTCCCCTAAGAAATCTTTGCCTTCCTAAGAATGTCAGGAGGCTGTTCTGTATTTTCTTCCTAAAGTTTTATAATTTTCATTTTTATATTTAGGTCTCCGATCTATGTCTGTGAAGTAAAGGATGGAGTTCTTTTTTTTTTTTTTGAGAGCGAGCGAGTGTGCAAGTGCAAGCATGGAGGGGCAGAGAAAGGGAGAGTCCCAAGCAGACTCGGTGCTGTCAGCATGGAGCCTGGCTCCGGACTTGAGGCGGGGCTCCATCTCACAGTGAGATCATGATCTGAGCTGAGCTGAAATCCAGAGCTGGATGCTGAAACAACGGAGCTACCCCGGTACCCCCTAGTTGTGGTTTTTAGTTGTTCTGTTTTGTTTTTACTTACGGCTATCCCAATTATTACAGCACCCTTTGTTGAAAATCCTATCCCTTCATTATTGAACTGATTTATATTTGTCAAAAGTCAATCACCTAACTAAAAACATCAATTACCTACATGTGTACAGGTCTGTGTGTGAACTCTATTCTGTTGCATTAATCTATATGTCTATTCTTAGGCCAATAGTCAAATGTCTTGATTACTGTAGCCTGATTTACTGCAGTCTTAAAATCAGATAATGCAAGTCCTACAACTTTGTCCTTTCTTCAGACTTGGTTTGGCCAGTCTAGTCCCCTTGCATTTACATTTTAAAATCAGCTTGTTACTTCTAAAATAAATTTTTAAAAAGCCTGCTGACATTTTGCTTGGGGTTGAGTTGAAATCTACAGATCAACTTCCAGAAGTATCATCTTTATAATATTGAGTCTTCTCTGTTCTACAAACATGGGATATGTATTCATTTAATTTCTCAGCCATCATTTGTAGTTTTCAGGGTACAGATCTTTTGTTTTAAATTTTATTCCTAAATAATCTGAGGTCTTGATACTATTGTATATGGTATTTCAAATATTTCATCTCCAATTGTTTTTTGGTGATATAAAGAAAGTTATTTTCACATCGTGATCTTGGATTTTGTAGCCTCGAGAAATTTACTAATTAGTTCTTGTAGCTTTTTTATAGATTCTTTAGGACATTCTACATACAAGATCCTGTGTCTGTGAATGAATTCAGTTTTACTTCTTCTCAAAGTAGATTTTAAATCTTGGAGCTATAAATACAGCCACCCGCAGGGATTGGTGCCTCGTCTAGCTGGCACAGCACAGGGCTTTCTCCATGGGTCTAGGGTTCTAGAGACTGGTTAGCAGCGGCATGTCCCAACTGCTGATGTATAACAGTGGTTACATGTCAATCCTTTCATGGAGAGCCTCAATCTCAAACTGGCCTCACTACTGGAAGAAAGAGTACACTGAGCATCCTATGAGTAGAGAAGAGATGAGTCTACACAGCCCTTCTGTTCTCACTGGTAGTTTTCCTATGCTTGCACCTGACCATTTGGTTGTCCACTTGGTTGTCAAGGTATTCGTTGTTCAAGGTGTCCTCGATTGTAGACCTGATGCCAATAATTCCATCTTGAATAGTGAGAACAGACACATAAAAATGGCCACCTGAAAGATCAGATCACTTATTTGTTATCAACCTTGCCCAAGCCAAGCGGCAGTGCCTTTGGTAGCCGGAAGGAGGGAATCATTAAAGTCGCAGCAGTGTGAGGACGACGTGGGTCCCAGTGCTTACCAAGTGGGCTTATAAAATGTTCTCCAGGACTGATGGATGTGGAGGGGGGAGGGGGGAGATGGGCATGGAGGAGGGCACTTGTGGGGATGAGCACTGGGTGTTATATGGAAACCAACTTGACAATAAACTATTTGTAAAAAAAAAACAACAAAAACTGTTCTTCACCTTTTTCAAAACCTGAAGTCTATGTTAGGCAGACTTCTAAGACGCCACCCAAAGATCCTTGTCGCCTGGAATTCACACCCTTGTGAGGTCCCCTCCCCTGGACTGTGGGCTCCCCTCGTGACTTGTGTCCAACAAAAAGAATAATGCAAAAGCGAGCAGGCTGTAATCGCTGCGAGTAGGTTAGGAAACACTAGGAGTCTGTCTTGGCAGTGCTCTGCCCCCTTCTCTCACCCGCTCGCCCCGATGAAACAAGCTGCCTGCTCTATGGAGACGACGAGGGAGCCGGGAACGGAGGGAGGCCTCTGGCCAAGAGCTCAGGAGGAACTGAGGCTTCAGCCCAACAGCCTGGGAGGAAGTGAATCTTGTCGACAACACATGGGTGAACTGGGAAGTTTGCCTTCCCAGCTGACCCTGGAGACTACTGCAGCCTTGTGAGAGCTGGAAGCCCTGGCTGAGCTGGACCCGGGTTCCGGACCCACAAAACCCTAAGTCAGTAAGTGCTGTCTGAAGCCACTCAGTTTTGCAACAATTGTTTTTGCAGTGATAGCTAACCGCAGGAGATCCCCCAACTCTGTGAAGCGTCTGGCATCCCTTTTATAGCCCCGGGACCTTCAGCCTGTACACACATCCCACAACTATGCAAGTCCGATGTTTTCCATGTCTGACCGGACATCTGGATTGCCAAACCCTGTCTAGTTAGACATTTAGTATCTAAAACCATACTGGAGGCCACTGAACTTTGAATCATATGGTATCATTGATGAATCTTTGCGTTAGCTAAAAGCAACACGGTTTAGGGTGGGCCTCTTTCCCTGACCAATGGGAACTCTCCTCTCCTCTGCTGGAAGATGCCCATACAGGCAGAGGTGATAGCCTGACACTTTAGGCAATGAAGGAAATTAAAGGTACTAAATTCGTTGGAGGGAACGGGCAACCCATGGATGCTAACATCAAGATAAATTAGATGCTGAAATGATCTGACAAGGATTTTAAAGCAGTCATCGTGAAACCACTTCAATAAGCAATTACGAACGTGCCTGAAACAAATGAAGAAAACCAAAGTCTCGGCAAAGAGAGAACATAAGAAGAATCATATGAAAAGTTTAGAACTGAAAGGTACAATATGCAAAATAAAAAACTCAGTGATGGGGTCAGCAGCAGAATGGTGATAAAGGAAAGAATCCACAACCTCGAAGGCAGAACGATGGATACGACCCCATATGAACAGGCAAGAAAGAAAAGACCCCGTGACCTCGAAGGCGAACGATGGATACGACCCGATATGAACGACAGAGACAAACCAGAACAGAAAACAAGTGAACAGAGCCCCGAGTGTGTGTGGGAACAAGAAAGGCGCTGACATTCAGGCTTTCTCATCAGAGACCAAGCAGCTCAGAACGAGGTGCCACGGCAGTTTTCGGGTGCTGACAGAGAACAGTCACCCCAGAATTCTAGAGCTGCTGGGGAAATGTCAGTCTCACATGAAGGAAAATTAGGAAGGTCTGTTTCTGCAGATTTATCCTAAAGGAATGACAAAGAACGTTTGTGAAACAGAAAAGAATCAATAAAAGCAATCTTGGAATATCACGAAGGAAAAAAAGAACAACAGAAAGAACAAAAATAGAGGTTAAATGGACTGGAATTTCCTTCTCCTCCTGAGTTTTCTAAATTACATTCATTGGCTGAAGCAAAAACTGTACCACCGATGGAGAGGTCAATGTCCGCAAGGATAAAGTCAAGACAAGGATACCATAAATGGTGGAGGGTAAAGGGTGGAAGATTTCTATACCTGATTTAATCTGGTAAAATGTCAAAACCAGCAGACTGTGATAAGCTATGTATGTATAATATAATATCTAGGGCAACTACTAAATATCTATGCTGAGAGAGATACTAAAAACCACAGAGACAGATAAAGCAAAACAGAATCTCCAAAAACGTTTTAGGGATGCACAGGAGGGCAGGGTCTGACACATGCATCAACTTAGGTGCATCCAAGGGCTTTGTGCTCAGTGAAAACATTAAAACAGGTCGCACACTGTATGATTCTACTTATGTAACAGTTTCAAAACGACTTACGGTTATGGAGAATAGACCACACTGGCAGGGGCTGGGGTGGGGGAGGGCAGGTGGTGGGACTAGATCTTGTCACCAGCACAAGATCTCTGGTGACAGAACAGATCTGCATCTCCACCACGTGGTCACGTGGACATCAATGTAATCAAAGGTCACAGGACTATGTGCACATGTCGCACGATGCCACTTTCCTTCCTACCCTCCTTCTGCACGTGGTCCATCTCTACCATGACCACCTCCACTCACTCCCATCACACCTATGTCACTCTTCTCAATTTTGTTTCCATGCTTCTAAATGCTTTGCCCCTTACTCTCAATGTATCTTTTTTTTTTTAGGCATATTTATTCTGAGAGAGAGAGAGAGAGAGCGAGCGAGCAAGCACGCGCCAGGATATGTATGTGGGGGAGCGGCAGAAAGAGAGGGAGAGAGAATCCCAAGCAGGCTCCAGGCTGTCAGCACAGAGTCCAACTCAGGGCTCAGTCTCACAAACTATGAGATCATGACCTGGGCCGCAATCAAGAGCTGGACGCTTAACCAACGGAGCCACCCAAGCGCCCCTCAACATACCCTGAATTTCACTCCTCCGCCCCCGCTGCCCCCACCTGTCTATGTACTTCCATCTTCTACCCATCACTCACAGGCAAACATCAGCCATCCTTGACTGTTCCCTTATCTCTGGCCTCCCATTACCAATTATTTGATTTATCTTTGAGGGTTCTTCCTTGAATTCCTTTCTATTCTCGCTGTCACCAACACAGTTCCGGGACCCAAGAACTCGTGCTTGAGACCTGAGAGCTTGGAGAAGCAGGCCTCAAACTCTCACTAATCTTATCTAGTCTGCAGAGCAATATCAGAGTATCCTTTGATGCAATAAAGAAAATTGCTGGAAACTGTGTACACAGCAGATGGGAAGGAGAAATCTGGAGATCTGAATACAAGTTAAACAAGGGATTTCTCCAAAAACAGTGAAACACATTTACTTAAATTTCAAATTCCTCTTCACACAGTCACACAGATCATAAGCAGTGTTGTGTCTTTCTCAGTAGAAGCATAAAATACGTACCTTAACTCTACGAGTAATGCTAAGGAACTGACAGGTTTTATCATAAAGCTGTTCCAGGTTTTCTCTGTCCCAGTAGAAATCGGGAGTGATCAAGAAGTCTGAACTCAGGTTTATACGATGTCTGAAAAAACAGAAATTATAGAACTTTTTTATCTTGAACGAAAAATCAGTTTCTATTTTACTTCTTTTTACGTGGTACTTTATGAAAACATTTGTTAATGCTGACCATGTTTCTGAGAAACACATAAATAAAAAAAGTCACAGAATTTCAAAATCTGCAACCAAATTACCTCAGTCTTTAATATTAATCTTACTTATGAAGTAATTACAAAACATTCCCTCATTTTGCTTTCAATTTCTGAGCTTTTTTTCTGTTTTCATTAAAAAATTTTATATATACTTTTTTTTTTTTTTGGTGGATAGGTAATCGTGTGGGTTAAAAATAAAAAAAGACAGAAAAGGTACACTGACAAATCTCACTCTGATTCTTATCCCTTTTTTTCTCCCACCCACAACAGGCAAGTGCTGTTAGCTTTATTCTTCCAGAGTTTGTGCAAGGAAGGGCACAAACACCCTTCGTTTCTACCTTTCTGCACATGAGGCCTAAGCTTACTTTTAAATGAAAATCTAAGGCATAGAAGTAACACACAAATAGCTGCTCAGTATAAAAAAGAAAGCCCTGGGGAAGTACTCAGAAACAGGCAGTCAGCCCTCCTACCCTAAAAGATAACTCCAATCCTTTAGGCCCTGCGAGCACTTTGCTGTGCCTTCCAGACCTTCTCTGCATACATTCGTGGGTGCGTGTGCACACACCAGCATGTATTTGTGGTGTGGTAAGTCTTAAGATGAAGACAAATGTTTATTTTTGTTTGTTTTACAAACTGGATTGTACTTTACACAATTTGGACCGAATTCTTCACCCACGGTAACTTGCCACATATCTATCAGAGATTTACCATGTTCCTTTCACTAATACACAAGCACTTTTATTATAAAGAGAAGAAAACTTAACTTAGGATAAGGACAGGAAGACTCTATAGAAACTGTTCACAAACCTCAATATATTTAGCCCTGACTTCTGAGTTTTGATATTATAATCTGCCATACCAAATTCTGCTTGCCTTACCAAGAGAAGAGGGTGAGAAGTCTCTCTACCCCACTTCTTAGAGAACTCAAGCCTTCACGTGTGCTGCTGGGATGCTCCTGAAGAATGGCTTCCTGAGCCAGAGCCCCTGAGCTATGAGGAATGCGTAGAGGTGAAATCCCGGACCACTTCTGCCCAAGCCAATCTCTAAGGAGAACGTGGACGTGACCTCTCCAACTATGTATAATGACCTCTAGGCGCTCACGCCACGTACCCTGAGGGACAAAACACTGAACACTGCTGCCTGGTGACACTAAGGCCAAGATTCAGAAGGTTTCGTTCCATGAATCCTGGGAAAATTACAAAAATGAAAGAAACGGAAAACCTTTTCAGAAGCTTATTTAAAATGATGCGTTGATGTATTTCGTCGGTTTGAAGGCACAATACTTTCCTATCTCTGAAATGGAAGGCATCTTTAAAAATGATGTCTTACAGGTGGCAGTTGTGACTGAGTGGTCACTGCTTTAATTTCCCATATGCTTTCCTTTTCATATATGCCCAAGGGGAAAGTGACGGAGTCTATGCCCAAATAAGGCAAAAAGTTATTTCAGTGTAAAATGGTAATTCTGTGATAAAAAAGGATTGTATCATAGTTTAACTGGCAGCACTTCTGTATATACGGGAGTTAAAATATATCCTTTATTTTAAAATAGTATTTATAATATTTATAAGATAAAAATTTATTTTAAAATAAAAAGTGTATTTTTTAATTCCAATGTAGTTTACGGTGTTATATCAGGTGTACGATACGGTGACTGAACAATTCTGTACGTTACTCCGTGCTCATCATGTAAGTGTATTCTCAGTCCCCTTCCCCTATCTGCCCCGTCCCCTCACCAGCTCCCCTCCAGCACCCATCCGTTCTCTACAGTTAAGAGTCTATTTTTTGGTTTCTGTCTCTTTCTGTCCTTTGTTAGTTTGTTTTGTTTCTTAAATTCCACATGAGTGAAATCATACGGTTTTTGTCTTTCTCTGCCTAGCTTTCTTTTGATTAGCATTATGCTCTCTAGATGCAGTTAAGATGGTTTTCCCGAGAATGCCCATCACCAAAATTCTAGAACAGACCTTTCTCCCTACAGAGACCATCTCCCGCGGCCCCTCACGTAGGTTTACCATAGAGGAAGCAGGGTCCCTGCGCACGCGGTGGGGTCCCTAGTGCGGCCCGAGCGCCCCTGACCTGCCCGGGGAGGGCTCTGCCTGCTGACAACCCGGGACGGAACACAGCTGCGATCCCCATCAGGGTACGCGTTTGCTTTTTACTCTACAAGTACAGGAGTGTTTCCTTCAGACCGTTAAATACAGAAATTATTTTATTTACAGAGAAAATTCTACCTCAGGGCAAAGAGTTCACCCATTTTCTGCATAACTTCTTCATGAGATAGTTTCACTTTCTTCCCAGCTTTTAAAGCCTAGTTGGGAGGGAAAAAAATACATACGTACATACATATGTCTCTCTCCAACAAGTCACAGGACCAAACAGCACATTCTAAAGCAGTCACTGACTCCACATAAATGACTCCCTTGGACGATACTCTCTCAGTCATTTCTCTTCGAAATTTCAACATCTTATTAGGTTGAAATTTTATATTCCCTGTTCCATCTCCCTCTCATCAGCATTTCCTACGATCTACATTCCTAACCTCTTACTGAGAAGCAGGGCCTCTTTTCCTAAGAATAATTCCGTTATTCATTCACAGTAAAAAACAAAATCACAGTAAACATGAGTTTCAGTGTATTCTGACAGAACTTTATACGTATTTGTCAAGCCACTATTTGCCTCAGAATTCAGCAAAAACACTTTTCAATCAAGAAAACTGGTCACAGTTTTCCTTAGAGGGGATAGAGCTCACTTTTCAAAAATACGCTTACGTTAAAAATATTATACCATCAGAAGAAAGTTATTGGAATTTTAAGTTTTAAAAAGTAGAAAAAAACCCAAAATAGCATATTTTTTATTTCATCTGTTATAAGTGTTCTGTTTTTGCTTAGATTCGGCATGGCTTTTCTAGTGTTTATTACTACTTTATTGTACTTATATATATTGTTAGAGTGGGAAATTTGTACTGAATAGAAATCAATCCTTAAAAACAAGCATAACATCGGTATAATTACCTCTGGAATCGACTGAATAGACTCAACAAATTTGTCCAGTGACGCCTCCCAAATAGCCAGTTTCACTGGGGGAAAAAATTAACAATGGAACTTATTTTTATCATCATTCTTCTGTTTCTACAGAACGCACAATGCACCGCACAGGACCTCCGCCACCACTTCAGCCAAGTTTAAGAAGCGAATGTGCTAATAGTGTGACACGGAAACAGAAGAATAGCTACCATGACATAGGAGAGCCCTGGGGTGAAAAAGACGGAAGAAGCAGAACAGATATCCACAGCCTGCTGGCCCACCAAAGCAGCACCTGGTAGAATTCCCAGGCGTTCTAGGGGCGCCTGGGTGGCTCAGTCGGTTAAGCCTCCGACTTTGGCTCAGGTCATGATCTCACGGTTCGTGGGTTCAAGCCCCGCATCGGGCTCTGTGCTGACTGCCAGAGATTCTGGAGCCTGCTTCAGATTCTGTGTCTCCCTCTCTCTCTGACCCTCCCCTGCTCACGCTGTCTCTTTCTCTCTCTCAGAAATAAAGAAAACATTAAAAAAAAAAAAAAAAAAAAAAAAGGATTCTTGACGTTGTAATGTCTCAGAAACCCGGAGACTATGAGGTCCGCCCTGAAGGGAAGTGTGGCTATGCAGACGGTCCATCCTGCGGGCCCCTTACTCTCCCTGGGGCTCCGTGTAAAGCTCACGAGTCCCCGGAGTGTCCAGGAGCCGTGGACAGGACACGCCAGCCACAGCTGAGTGTAGGTGAGGGCAGCCAATTTCTCAGAGCACTGCTCCAGCTTTATTCAGGTGCATGGATCATCCAGAAAGAACTGAGGGCCACTGCGGCTCTCTGTCCCACTTCTCTGAGGAACTGGGTGCACTCTTCTACAGAGGCCTGCGCCCAGTCACACCGGGCTTTCTCTGCCCAGATCACAGACAACCTGAGAGTTAACGACCATGGAGAAGAGAGGGAGACAAAGGGAAAAACAATACTAGAAAAATATTTTTGGAGAGGGCAAGCTTTATCAATACAATTAATAAAGAATGAGTAGCATCAGCACAGATACTCTATTCCCTATACTGTATGTTCTTTTATCTTGGAAGGAAAAGAAAGGCTAAAGCTTTGCTAAGAATTTTGAGAAACGTGTAAATCTTTACTAACTGCTTAAGCATCCTTTGATGAAATGACAACTAGGCAACACATTCTCTGGTAAGTAGCGGTAACTTACCTGAAAGGCAGAGAGCATTTGAGAAAGCAAATTTCTCTAGAATGGCATCATCTAAATCTAGCTCCGAATTTAATCTGATTTCTCCTCTATGAAGTTTTGACTGTCCCCTGTGAAAAGGAAAAAAACCCAAAGATATAAATCTTAAAAACCACTTTACTTTTTCTTTTCTTTCTTTTTTAATTTTTTTATTTTGAAAAAGTCACTTTACACTCTTCCTAGAGGTCATTTTGGCAGTTTCTACCAAGGCTCTTAAAACGTTCTTATACTCTTTGATCCAAGTAATTACCTCTCTAGGAATTTATCCTAAGGAAATAATCAAAGATGCAAAGAAAGATCTGTGTAAGAAAAACTTTTTTATGGTTAAATGTTTAACAGTAAAAAATTAGGGAAAAAAATCTAAATGTTCAATAGGAGAATGGTTCATTTATAGGAATTCCACACAGCAAAACTTAGCAACTGATATTTAGTAGAAAGGGACTACGGCCATAGTAAACTGCTAACTGATAAAAGGCTGCATTTCTAAACACAGTGCGACCTAAAATCACTTGGACACGGTGGGGAGGGCGGGGGAGAGGGCAAGCAGTGCAACACTGAGGTTCACATACTCCAAGAAGTACCTGAGCACGCGTGCATGTTTATGGGAGCCTAGTAAGGAGCAGTTTGATATGGAGGTAGAGCACAGAAGGGGAGTTCGTGGGACCACAGCCACAAGACCAAGTGCTTAATTATAATAATACAATTCTTTTTTAAAAAATATTTTAATGTTTATTTTTGAGAGAGAGAGAAACACACACACAGAGCGTGAGCTGGGAAGTGGCAGAGAGAAAGGGAGACGTGGAATCTGAAGCAGGCTCTGGGCTCTCAGCATAGAGCCTGACGGCCCGATGTGGGGCCTGAACTCATGAACCCTGAGATCATAACCTGAGCCAAAGTCGCACACTCAACTGACTGAGCCACCCCCAGGCGCCCCTAAAATTAACAAAACTTGATTCGCTCTTCATCTGTTGCATCTCTCAGGTGCACATCCTCGCTTTCAAGTGCATCCGCTCTGGGCCCAGACCCTGTCACTGGTCAGGCGCTCTTAGGCAGGACAAAACCTCACTGAACCTCGTCCGAAAACTAGTTAACGCCACGTGGAGGTTTGTCAGGAGTAAATGAAAGGACACACAGAAGCGCTTAGAACAGTGCCGGGCACAGGGGGCCTAGTTCACCTTCGCCAGCTATCATGACTTAGCTCTGATCCCAGCTAGTCTTTCTAAGGCTGCATGGCGTCTCTTCAAATTTTCCTAAAGCTCTGCTTTCATCACTTTCTTGAATACAAAGGATTCTTTTTCCATATGCTACTAGACAGGAAACTCCAGGCCTTTCCATCGTGTTCACACTGCCATCTCTCTCTGCTCTGACATCTTTTCATCCTTCCCTGCTTGCTGAGGCAGGAAAGTTAGCTGGTATGTTGCCTGCCCACATACCTCCTCTGAGGATGCTATGACAGGCCCCCACTTCCTGCAGATGCCATTTCTATAAGCAGTTCTCTTAAATCAAACGCTTGGCCAAACTCAAAACCAGCAGAGAAGAAATGGACTTACTTATGAGGACCTTTACTATAATAATTGGATAGGTTCATTCTGATGAAAGCATAGTACTTCTGAGGAAGGTTATACTATTTACTTGTTTTTTTTAAATATTTGTTTTTGAGAGAGAGACACACACACACACACACACACAGAGACAGAGCATGAGCAGGGGAGGGGCAGAGGGAGAGGGAGACACAGAATCTGAAGCAGTACCAGGCTCCGAGCTGTCAGCACAGAGCCTGACGTGGGGCTCGAATCCACGAACCATTGAGATGGTTCTGAGCTGAAGTCAGACGCTTAACTGACTGAGCCACCCAGGCGCCCTTCTACTGCGGGTAGCCTGACAAGTTAAAAAACTGATGTTTATCTATGAACATCTATTATATTGTTTAGGTTTTGTATCTGTACCAGTAACTTGTTTTCTTAAAATCAGTCTCCAAATTTCTAAGTTGTTTATCGTCTCTACTGCTTCCCCTAATCATTCCAAGTGCCCTTTCTGTAAACGGGATAAAACGTGGCTCACTCCGTTTTGATGTAGTTAAGCTCTTCGTTCTCCCAGTGCACCAGTGCGACTTCGTAGGGCTGGATTTCATGTTTCTCTAAGACCTGCATCACATGCTTCATCTAGAAGAAAAGGAAAAGTAACCTGAAATTATACCTGGTGCTCTCGGTACAGAACTACGTATTTGTGTTAATGGCTATAACATCTGTCATTACATCTGATGCCCTTTCTTCTGGTTTAGTTTTTAATGAGCAATAATCGTGCCTCGGATAAACCTCACTGGCCACTCACTGCCACTGTGCGAAGCTCTTCTGATTAGTTTTTCAGGAAAAGGTAAATCCGTTGTGGTATTAAACTCATCAGAATAATATACTAACTTGTTTCTACATTTAGAAAACACAGATTAGCATAAAGAACATTATCACATTCCACGACCCAAAGAAAACCATGAGTTTTACGATTTGTATCCTTGAAATTTTTTAAAAAATGTGTAAGTTCCATACTTATAAATATATAAACATTAAAGTATAGAAAGTAACAATCTCTCGTCTCCTGAATTCTTAGTCCCCAAAGAAAACCCTAATTTGCTGCATATCCTTCCAGACTTTTTAAAATGTGTTTGTACATTTACTTTGCTTTTTACCTAAAATGAGATCATACTATGGAGGTAAACATTTTCCATGCTACTCTCCTTACTGCAGAAACCACAGTGTATTTATCCTTCCTAAATGTCCATCCACAGGGGATGATTCCTACTCCAGAGATGCTACTACAAGGCTGCAAATGCACCACCTTCCGCGGGTATCTCTGCGGGCTTATGGGGTTATTTCCTCAGGAACTGCTACATCAAAAAACAAGCACACTTACTATTTTCATAAATGTTGCTAAACTGCTCTCCAAAACAGGTTTTCCAATGTTAGAATCTAAACATTTAGAGCCCAAAGTGGGGCTTAACCTCATGACCCCAAGGTCAAGAACCTGAGGTGAGATTAAGAGTTGGATGCTTAATCCTGAGCTAGCCAGGTCCTCCGAGCAGAACATTCTTAAAAAATAAAAAATACTGGGTATTATCAGCCTTTTATATTTTCGCCACTTCAAATAGCCAATTTTTCTTATATGTATTAGTCATTTATATTTCCTTTTCTTCCAGAAACCCCACCTACCACTGCCGTGTGTGTGTGTGTGTGTGTGTGTGTGTGTGTGTGTGTGTGTGTAGTGGGGGTCTATTTCCTTTTAGTAAAAGTGGGATTTTATGAGGCCTATTTCTTAACTAGCTCTGATTTTATAATGGTTATATTTTATAATCTGCTTTTCAAATTTAATTAGAACAGATATTTTTCTACATAATTTTTAAGAACTGCAATATAACCTAGGGAGGTATCTGACAAACTTCCTACCACTATGTACTTTGGTTATTTCTCATTTTGCTACTGTAAACAGTACACCGACGAACATTTCTGTACATCATTCATCAGGCAAAACTGCAGTTACTTCCCTTGGATAACATTCTAGATGTAAAACTTTGTTGAGTCAAATATATAGCTTTGATCTGTATTATCAAACTGCCTCTAAAAAGGTTACAGTAAACAAACTGTGATTGAGATAATGAAGATATTGTTTCCTGTGAGTAAGTAATAGAAAACTCCTAGACCTTAGTGCAGTCAAATTCCAGTGAACTGTCACCCACTTTGTAGATTATCATGTACAAAGTATAACTTCTTTCTGTCTGCAGTATAGCTTGGATTGTTCTCAATCTTCACAAATTACTCTAAGCCCAGAGGATGGAAAATGGAGGAAACTTATAAGCCAAAATATAATCATTTTAGAAGACAAAAGTGCTAGGGTCAATATCACATAATGCAGAGCACGTAAGTTGGGAATTACCTGTTAATTCACCTTCCAGTGGCTCAGACTACTGAGTACTAATTAACAAATTTTTTCTTAGAAAAATAACTTTTTATACTTTTATACTTTATATATACTTACAGTTTTGTCTTTCACATTCCAGAACACAGCAGCTCCTTCTCTGATTTAAAAGAATAAAAGAATCAACTAAGTTAAAAGTGGAATATGTTCTTTAAGGCCCTACGTAAAGCCATGCTTAGGTAACTTCTAGAATATATCCAAAAGGCAATTCTTAGAAATGTGATTACTTATTTGACATTATGGTTTCTAGATGACTTGCTAAAACAAGAGCTATTATTGAGCTTTTGATAAAACGTGAGCTCCCCCAAATTCAAGATTTCTCTCATGGGTTTGCAGAATAAATAACTCTTATTATAATATTATATAATTTCACGTATCTAGACTGTTTCATACCTGATTCAATTCTGATGTACAGAAATCAGAATAAGGAAAATTGTGAGACCCGTCTTAGCTTTCATTAGGCAGATTCTGCTATGAAAAGAATAAAGGATCATGCTTTTAACAGTTGTAGAATGAAGAGACTGATATAAATTAGAGCCAAAGACGGCTAAGAGCACCCATGGAATAATGCCGCCCACCCTTCCAGTGCCTGGAGAGCAGTGAAGCCACAGGTGGCCTCTGGGTCTAGTCTGGTTTTCAACGAATTTAAGGTCTAACTTGTTTCGGTTCCTGAAGTCTGACACACTGAACTGTTTTTGGTAGTAATTAAGAGACAGAGTGAGAGAGAGAGAGAGAGAGAGAGAGAAGTTATAGTACTCTTCTCCTGGAGGAACAAAAGGTGGAAATGAAAGACAGGTAAAACCATGGTGGCCCCCTACCATTCTTCAAATATTCCTTTTTATTTTCAAAAATTAAAAAAAAAATTTTTTTGAGAGTGTGCCTGACGGGGCATGAGCAGGAGAGGAGCAGAAGAGAGGAGGAAGAGAATCCCAAACAGGCTCCACGCTGTCAGCGCAGAGCCCGATGCGGGGCTTGATTCCGTGAACTGTGAAATTGTGACCTGAGCCAAAATTACTCAACCAACTGAGCCACCCAGGCACTCCTCATCCTTCAAATATTTCCTAAGTGAACGCTTACATATGTGCGGGTCTGGGCTCAGCATCTGGGACACAAAGATGAGTACGGTCTGGTTCCTATCCTCACGGAACTCCCAGGTTAGAAAAGACTGACAGACAGGCCTCAGAGTGCAGTGGCACGTGGTGAGTGCCCTGAGTGGGAGTGGCACTCGGATGTACATGGGCGGACACGGTCCCCACAGACAGGCAGGGCTCGGCAAATGAGCCAACGAGAGGCGGCAACACAGCAGAAGTGACACACTGGGCTCAGGGAGAGGGCGCGAGGGAGCAGGGCAGCTCCTCCGAACAAGCGGCTCACTGTCTGCCGTGGCCGTGGGCAAGTACTGGGCAAACAGGTCGGAGAAGCAGGGAGGAGCCAATCTTTCATAGTGACAGGAGTCTGGTCAAGTGCCACAGAATTTGAAGCAAGAGAGTGTTGTGACCCCGCCTATAGGCTGGCAAGAAGGTGGGGGTGGGGGGTGGGGGGAGGGCAGCAAGCTGCGGCAATCAGCCACTGGATGGTATCGAAAGCGGATGTGACTGCGACTTAAAGCCACAGCAGAGCACAAGCAGTTCAGAGTGTCACTTCTAGGCAGAGGAGAGGAGCTGGGAACAGGGCCCCCCTCTGCTCGCTGTGCCGTGCGGTGTGGCCTCAGAGGCCGCGCGAGCTACTGAGCACTTGCATGTGCCTGGTCCACGCGGAGAGATGCTGGAAATGTACAACACACACTGGGTGTCAAAGACTTAGCGTGAAGAGTATAAAAGTCTCATTAATTACTGATTATGTGTGGAAATGACAGCATCGTAGATATGCTGGGTTAAACAAAACACATCATTAAAATTAATTTTGGGCAATATATATTGTTACTGGTGTTCAAATCTTTTTTTGTTTTTTTTAACTTTCAAACATGTGGCTACTAGAAAATGTATCATTACATACGCGGCTTGCATTTGTGGCTTGCATTGTATTTCTACTGGATGGGGCCGATCTGAGGCCCTCAGACACCCACATTCCTCACCTGAGTCAAAGGAGATGCTATTCTACTTGGACTGAATGTGGAACTCTTGATTATCTCCTAAGTTACCTAAAAAAGGAAAGTAAGGTGGGGCCACCAGGATGGCTCAGTCAGTAGAATGCACAACTCTTGATCTCGGGGTTAAGTTCAAGCCAAATGCTGGGTGTAGAGATTACTTAAAATCAATAAATAAAAACTTAAAAAAAGGGGAAGGTAAGACATTGGCAGGAACCAAGCTGGAGCTCCCAGTTATCGTCAACTATAAAGACTGGTATCACACACATTTCATCAAAGTTTGGGTTCTTCTGGAGGCTCTACGTGTTTCTGTTCTGCCACAGGACCGTCCCATGACTGTGGGTTATTCCCTGAATCTGTCTCACCCTCAGTTTCCTCAGCTGTAAAAAGGGAGTAACAGACCTTCCTCAAGAGCTGTGGGGATAATATGAAATTATTTTAAGTGGTTTATAACCATTCTCACTCAGCTACCCTGGAGAATTTGGTATTAAAGCAAATTTTATTCCTTTACATGAAAGGAATAAAGTATATGTGAGTCAGGGTTCCAGGCTAAAGTCTCTGGAGAGGTAAGATGGTCTAAAAGTTTAACAAAAGAGCTGCAGAAGGAGGAGAACAGAAGAAAAGACAGCTGGGTAGTAGCATGAGTCCGATAAGGGGCACTGAAGGAGAATGGAAGGCAAAGTACTTTACGTATTCTTCATAAACAAAAATTCAGATTTACAGATAAAGGCAAGCCCTGGAAAAATTATCTGTGGTAGAAGAGGCTTCCCCAGAACATTCCTAAAGCTGACAAAGTCCCCTAGATGAATTAACAATTAAAGGCGAAATTTAAATCACAGGTAAATTTTGAGCACATTTACTATTAAGGGAGGGGTACACCTGCAAGTTCGAACCCCACATTATCTGACCACAAGACCATCTCCCGGTAGGGCTGTCCTCTGCTCTTACCTGAAGAAGAATATTGTTCCAGCATCACCTTCTTTCGCAGAATGTTCCACGCCCATCACCAAAATATTTGCTGCATCTGTGGTTTAAAATAAGTGAAAGGCCATCACCATAAAGGGACCTAGAAGGTTTACAAGTCACCTAGAAACTTTTAGTAAAGTACGTATGATCATTCCTTCATATCCCACTAAGCGCTCTGTAATGTTCTACCCATATTCTTTAGGTTTCTGAAAGTACTTAATATATGAAAAGGAAAAGACCATAAAAAACTACTCTTACAAAACATTCAGACATCGGTGGCACTATTATTAATACTATTTAAAACTACTCACTGACAGCCATTTTCATTCAGTAATCATTAGTCAAGTTAAAAACTAGTAAAGTCTTAGTTTTAATACAACTGAGATTCAAGAATTACATTTACAAAATTCTTTTCCTTTAAATATGTTATTAATATGCTAATATTCTCAAACTATTCATTTTGATGAATTTAAGTTATATAAAGTGTGAGTCAACAGAACATACAGACACAAAGATAATGACCATTTCAAAACGTGGGTTCAGAGTCAATCATGAGAACTATTGCTGTACCCAACTAAATACTTGAACCTTTTAAATATTATTAAATATAAGTTAATACACACGTTCATCAGTAAGTACTTTATATATTAATACAGTTAATATTTATAAGTCTACTAATATTCTATAACAAATTATATCTTAAGGTATCAATTAATAAGTATATACTATTATTAGTAATAAAAAGTTATATATAATTTTTTAACCTAAAATTTGGACCCACAAAGCTTCAGAGCTCCTGGTAGAGGTTGGGGAATGGGGGGTTCAGATAAAGACTAAATCCCAAATTACCTTTTTTGGGGGAGCTCTAACGTCCCCAAGCACTACATCCTCCAGAAGGCAAAGTTCACCTACGCAGCCAAGAGCAATACAACTGAAATGGAAGAGACCCGAGGCAGAGGACTGGTATTAGAAGCCCTCCAGGGGGTGACGCACAGGTCAACCTACTGACAGCTTTTGGGATCAGCCAAGGATACACCTGGAAAACTATTTATCTTCAGGGCTCTGGACATAGTTCTGTTTTTCTCAGTCAATTATGCTTGTTTCTGCCATCAAACCACATAGAGTCTGTTCCGATCACCAAGGCTGAAGGGGCACAGTGACATTTCAAGTGCTTCTTATGGGGTCAATGACACTTAGAAGAATTTTCTATGAAGCGGGGAGGTCTTCAACCTATTTTTGCTTCTTTGTAGTAAGTTTATGGACTTCCATCAGAGTGTTCCAAGTTACTTAAATGTTAACATAAAACAGGCTATTTTTTCAAGACTCCTTCCTGATACTATCCTAAAATCCTATTAATTTTGATTCTAATTTTTAATATTCTTTGTATTCCTCTTTTAGCTAATTTTGTTAAAGTATTGAGTTATGCTAGTAAATTTTTCCTTAAAGCCTCTCCCAAAAGTTTTTATCAACTGCATGGCTCTTCTGTAAGAATTAAACAACTTTTTAACAGGACAGAAATGAGGTGATGTGGCCTTTGATTGTCCCAAGTCACAGTGACCCTATAAGTAAACCTTAAAAAATCATACTGGTTTTAATCTGAGAACTAAGTTCTCTATAAATACATTTTAGTTTCTTCGTCATTTGTATACAGACTCAACATCTTTTTTGTGATACCATCCTTTAAATAGAAAATGGAATGTAAACAAATGAATATTTAAGATGTGTCACAGGAAAATGATTTTCTGATACATTTTTTTCTGATACATTTTAACATATTTGGCCCAGGTTCAAGAAGACGTACCTCTAGGCAAGCTTGTTACTTCAACATATCCGTGGGCAGCCAGGTCTTGAGCGAGAGTTCCGAGATGATACTCCTCGGCAGTTGCAAACGCCGTGCAGTGCATCAGGTCCTGTTTCGGCGAGATTAGCACGACATGAGTTACTGAGAGGTTCAAGCGTCTGTGAGGACTATCGCCTTCCAGGGCTCCGTTTTGCAAAAGCGAGCACTTGAGAGTTTTGTCAAACGTCTCAAAGGTTCATGGTAAGGGTGAGAGAAGGAAGCTATAGACAGGGAGATGGATTTCAGCCCAATCCGTGACAGGATGTTCTCCCACCGGCCACCAAAAAGACAGACGGGCTCCCCAGAAAACAGAACCGCCCCCTCCCCGTGGTGGTGCCGCAAACACACCTTGAACGAATGATACGGAGAGGATTAAGGCATCACATGGGCCTGGGTGGAATGATCTTTCCAGTCTCTCCAAACCTGAGTTGCTGTGACTTTTACAAAGCAGTATTACTATTTAAGGTCATTTCATAATTTGCTGCTAGCCTTTATAAAGCTTTTATATAATTTTTTAAAAGTTTTTATTTACTTTGAGAGAGAGAGACTGAGTGAGCACATGTGCACACAAGCAGGGGAGGGGCAAAGAAAGAAGGTGAGAGAGAGAATCCCAAGCAGGCTCTGCACTGTCAGCATGAAGCCAGGTGCAGGGCTTGAACTTAGAAACCGTGAGATCATGACCTGAGCTGAAACCAAGAGTCGAACACTTAACTGACCAAGCCACCCAGGAGCCCCCAGAGATTACTTTAAATCTATAAATGAAGTACAGAACTTTCTACTCTGGTTCACATTAAATAAAACATTCTGCGTATCTGAGAATGTGTCCCGGTGTCATGAGTGCGTGGGGTCTCGTCCGTGCGCACGTGCACACCTGCATGGTGTATGTCTGTGTAGTACACACACAGGGGTACACACACAGGAGTACATACAGGAGTGCACGCACAGGAGCGCACACACACAGTGAGTACACACACAGGAGCACACACACAGGAGCAAACCCACAGGAGCAAACACACAGGGGCACATACACAGGAGTACACACAGGGGCACACGCACACACGGGCACACACACAGGAAGCAGTATGGCGCAGCACAGAACTTTTGTCAAACTCTAAGTCACAACCCATCAGTGAATCCCGCTACCGATTTGGCTGGCCCAAACCAGCTTAAAAAAAAGTTAAACACAATAAAATAGAAAATATTACAGTGCCTTAGTCATAGTAAGGGTAAATGTTACTTTATGAACTTTTCTGTCATTTATATCTAAGTATGTACTATGTAAAATACATTTCTCCTAGGGATGAAGTCAATAAAGTTCAAAAGCTGTTGACACAGGTGTTAAAGAGTTCAGCACAGAATTTGAATATTAAAAAAATCAGAATGACAAAATGCCTACTTAGAGGACTGCTGTGAAGTTTAGACGAGCTGGTGAGTGTCAAGTGCTCAGAACCATGGCTAGCGCAAATGGCCAATCACGGTTAGATTAGTCATTACCCTATGGGTATGTTTAAACCATCAAAATGTATGGAGGCGAAAAAGTTTATCAAGTAATTTACATCTGAATTTTCACATGTTCACAGTTTTGTATTTCCGATCAGAACATGAGTGATTCTATGGTCATGTGGTACATATGGTGTTTTGGCCCACCACTCGTGAAGAGGTTTATGAGTCACTAAATCAAAATTTACTCCTAGGATTTACTCATGTCACCATTAACCTCTTTCCCTTTCTGTTATGTTCCTAGTACAAAATCTCAGAAAAGTAGTATTTCTGTCACCTAATTCCTGGCCCTAACTCAAGAAATGGCCTAAGCTTGCTTTGCCTTTTCTTCCATCTGTTATGCCATTCTGGTTTTTTTTTTTTTTTTTTTTTAATGTTTTTATTTTTGAGAAAGATCAGAAGTGTGAGCAGGGAGGGATGAAGAGAGAGGTAGACACAGAATCCAGTGCAGGCTCCAGGCTCTGGGCTGTCAGCACAGAGCCTGATGTGGGGCCCAAACTCACAAACCGTGAGATCATGACCGGAGCTGAAGTCAGACGCTCAGCCGACTAAGCCACCCGGACGCCCCTCTCATGTGTGACTTAAAAAGCAGCAGAGGAATAAACAGAGGCCCTGAGGAACCACACAAACTGAAAAACCTAAAATCAATCAAATATCTACTCATCAGCAAAATGATTTTATCTCAATTAGAAAAAAAAGCAAAGTCAGTCAAGGAGAAACTGTTGCTAAAAGTGAGGATAAATGGATGCAGTTCACTGTCCTTTTCCAGGCAGGCATCTGGTAAGCGGATTCCCAGAGTTACTACGAAGGTAAGCAACTGCTGATACACAAATCGTAGGCACCCACACAGCCTGAGTACAGTTGCTGGAGTACAGGAATCACTTATGTGCTTAAGGTTTAGAAATTCGAGCACTATCTGTTCTCTTAAGGTTTCGTGGCGTTAGAAGAGCTGTCAGGATGTGAGATTAAGCTGGAGGAAAGAAAGGAATCCTGCCAGCAGGAACCAGGTACGGCCAAGGTGGGCAGGCTGTTGGGCAGGAGACCCAACAAATTTACTGAAACTTGCTAAGCAAAATCACGGAATATTAGATTCATGTCAGAATTACTTCTGTGATTACTGAAGCTGACACACCCGGTCTGGGCTGGAGGAAGCCGAGCTGGAGGCAAAGAGATGAGATAAAAAAAAAAAGATAAGAGATAAAGAGACCAGGGAGCCTGGGTCCAAGAACTATCCAGGAGAGGATCTTCCCATAACTGTACAGAAAGTGGCAGAGGCCACCTGTCTCGAGAATCAGAATTGTACACTGGCAGCTCAGAGTACTAGCCAACTCAAAAGCTGACCCATATAGTTTTTTTTTTTGTTTTTCTTAAATGTTTATTCATTTTTGAGAGAAAGTGTGAGCGGGGGATCGGCGGGAGGCGGGGACAGAGGATCTGAAAAGGGCCCTCAGTGAGCCTGATGCGGGGCTCGAACTCACAAACTGTGAGATCTCGACCTGAGCCGTAGTCAGACGCTGAACTGACTGAGCCACCCAGGCGCCCTGACCAGGGAGCGCTTTTAAGATTTGAATTCGTCATTAACAACAAATTGAGATTTCACACAAAATCCAGGTTTCCACCAAGATTTGATCACGTGGAAGATCTGGCAATAATCAGCTGGAGCTGAGGAGGGGGTCCCAGTTCTCCAGCCCACGCAGTCCCTCCCCCACTCCCCCCACCCGCCCACGTCCCTGCCTGCTTCGCCATGGTTCCTTGCTGAGCAGACCCATCCGGCGCACTCTTGAGGGTGGGACAAGGCAAAGCATTCAATCACCACCTCCATGAGAAAATACATTCTGAGTCCAAAAATTATAAATAAATTTTGAAACACAATCTGCTTTTACTTCGCCATTCCAAGGATTTTTGCAGACTTTCTGAAGATTGTCACTGTGTCTCCTGTTTAGCTTGGCCCCAAGCTCTGGCCAGCGTCACAGAGCTTACACGGACTGCCACACTACTTTCTGTATCCTCAAGCATCCTGGGCTCGGTCTCTCCGTGAGTTATGGCTTCTTCCACTAATTAATGATTCACAAAGGTTTTCAGTTTGATTTGTTAGACCGACCTTTTTCTAGGTTTGTATCCTTTGCTTTAAGTTTCAAGACTGCACTGAAATCCATTTGGTAAAGGGAAAGAGGCCCATGGAGTGTGTTGTGGTCCCGTTGTTTCCCTATTAATTACATTGATATATTGTGAGAAGCTTTTGTTTTCATACGTCTTTTTCTGGATTTTTATAATAAATCATATACAGAGAGCACGCACAAATTTCAGATTTTAGGACAGGGATCAACAATTTGTTCTTTAGTAGATGTGTCAAACCAACCTCAAATAGTTACTGGATTTAACACCTAAATTTAGGCCTTTCTATTTTAAAATGTTAAAAAAAAAAAACTAAAATTGAAAGCCAAGAAAGCCATTGTGTTTTAATATGTTTCACTTTGCTGGCCACAGAAAACAGGTCCCAGCAGATGGGGCTAGAAATCTATACACAATCCTTGTTTCAGCTCATCACACGCTCTGCTGGAACACTCTTCTTAAAAAAGAAAGTTTATTTTTATTCACATTCTAGTACTGTAGAAAATGAATGCATTACTGTAATGTTGCCTCTAAATTACAAAAAGAAAAATGCATGTTTTTCTTGTTGTGTACAGACTGTAGATGAAAGTTACAAAACACAGATACATTTTACATTCCCAGGACAAAGCTTTAGCTTTCAAGTTTCCTCACTCTGCCCCGTGGCGAGAAAGCCTTCTGTCCACCCAGTACACAGATGCATACGGGCACACACACCAGTGACACAAAAAGTTCACAAAACAATATTTATCTCCACCATCAGCAATGTGCTCTGATGCTTTCTATTGTATTTCACTAAAAACCAAAAAACCAAAAGCCAACCAACCAACAATTAATAATCACCCACCAGTTCACTCTGCAGTACAAGGGCGTGCCCGTCGCCGTGCTGCTCCGAGCAGTGGCTCCCATCCTCTAGCAAGCGCTTCCTGAGACACGACACACCAACAAGGAACACTGTTACTGCCATGATAAACCCTGAGCCAACAGCAAGTGGGCTGAATGTGTGAGTACGCTATGATCTCTGCAAATGACACTGGGCAAAGGTCTGAATCCAGCACAGAGGGTAGTGATCCACCTCACCCAGTCAGTCCCGGGAGCACGCTGCGTGGCTGGGCAGAGAGGGTGAGTCAGGAGCAAGTGTGGCGAATGACACTAAGCACACCCGCTCTCTGGTGCAAAGCAGGGTCCTTCCCGTCTCTGTCCAGAGCGGGATAAAGGGTCATCCAGCCACAAACGATTCGCCGGCCCCAGGATGCCCATGTGGGAATGGGGTGGCCCTCTGTCTGGGGCAGATAAAAGCCAGTCTTCGGCCCTGGGGATACAGTCCCTAGTCACACAGCAAGCCTGCGTTCGCTTGTGAAGAGTAAGATCATCAAAAGAATGTTCCCGGGGAGCCTGGCTGGCTTACTGGGAAGAGTACAGAACTCCTGACCTCAGGACCATGAGGTCGAGCCCCACACTGGGTGTAGAGATTACTAAAGAAAAAATAAATAAACTTAAATGCTGTTGGAAGCATAACATTTTCTATTATTTCCATGTGCTTTCAGAAAGACAACATATTGTTTGTTTTTTGCAAAATTCCAACTGGGGTCTCACCTGTTATGTTCTATAATATCTCATCTATGAGAGCCCAGCAAATATATAATTCCTTAAATTCAGTGATAGAAAACCATAATTTCTCAGAAAACATTTTTATGTTTTTCTTTTTTCTCCCCGTTAAAGAACAAAAAATGTATGACTGAGGAGGATTCCCTTGTTTCTTTAATCATTGGGTTTCTCAGAACTGAATGTTCATCTAGATTATTCGTACCAGGTAATTTCTCTGTTCATGTCAATTGTTTGCTCCATCTCAAATGCAATGCTTTATCTCATTTAAAACTATATTAAATTTTGAAAATCTACTTCAAACCCTTTCCTGGAAGCCGAAAAAAAATCCTTTAAAAAAACACACACACACACACAACCTAGAATTCAAGAAAATTGCCTCCAAGTCTAAGGACAGCCCAAAGAAATAATGCCTCTTTGAGACTGTTTTATAATCAATAACTTATTTAAAAAAGTGACATCTCTGACCATGTCAGCCTCTTCATTAAGAAACTGATTACTAGGGCACCTGGGAGGCTCAGGTGGTTGAGCGTCCAACTCTTGATTGCAACTCAGGTCATGATCCCAGAGTTGTGGGATCGAGCCCCATGTCGGGCTCTGTGCTGAGCACAGAGCCTGCTTGCAGGTCCCTCCCTCTACCCTTCTCCCCTGCTCACGTGCACACTCTCTCTCAAATTAAAAAAAAAAAAAAGGAAAGAAAAAAAGTGACGATTATTCTCTGTGCTGCTAGTTGTAACAAAAGAAAAAAAGTGAGATCCCTCTCTTGGATCAGCCACGAATTTAGGTTTTTAGATTTCATGATATCTGTCACTTAAATACTAAATTTCCCAAATGATCACAAAGCTAAACAATACAATTGAAAAAATCAGGAGCTACAGGGAGCCTAGGTGGCTCAGTTGGTTAAGCATCCGATTCTTGGTTTCAGCTCCGGTCATGATCTCATGGTTTGTAGGTTCAAGCTCCATATCAGGCTCCACGCTGGCTTGGGATTCTCTCTCATGTGCTCTCTGCCCCTCCCCTGCTCACTTATGTGGTTTCTCTCAAAATAAAACCCCACAAACTAAACATGCTCAGGTGCTCCTCAGAATGAAGATTTTAAGACAGACATTCTACTCTGTTTTCTGAAAGTTCAGAGGCCTGATTTTTTTAAGTATTCTCAATTCTCATTTTTAATGTTGATGACCACAGACATCAAAGATCCCTTTGCCTCTCTTCTCTCCTTTCTAATTTAATAAGTAACTATTACATGTAAGACAGGTTTTACCATCAGGCTTCTAAGGTCTCGTGGCCAGCTCTCTTATGTTCACAGGAAGTAACAGACACTAGGTTACAGTGCAAGTGAGGACTGTGACACAGAAAGCCACCATCACACATTTACCTCATTTACAGAGAGGACTGGAAGGTTGGTCCTGGATGGCTGCCTGGTCCTCGATGCTTTCAGTGGTCTCTTGATTTGCGGAAAATCTTGTTTAGGAACAACTGTTTCCGTTGATACAGACGAGTAATGCCGCTCTAATATTTTTATAAACCACTTAGAACCTAATAGACTTGGTTTGTGAGTCACTTTCCTGTGAGAACTAAAAGATTTCCTGGTCGGAAGGTGTACTTTTTCATGTTGGCAATGTGCAGCACTTAATGGAGACAGTATGTTTGTATTTGTTATTTTCTGACTTGTTTCCAGGACCTGGGACTTACTTGAACCGCCCGCCACTGTCTCAGGAAAGAACAAATCCAAGTTTTGACTTCTTGTCACGGTGCTGCACGTCGTAGTCCCAAAGTCCTTAAGTGGTTTTAATGTCTGATGAACAAGTCTTGGGCACTGATACACTTTTGATAAAACACAGTGAGATCCGGCCAGGGCTCTGAAAAGTCTGGGTGACATTGCCACATCCCAAGCTAAAGGAGAAAGAATTAGAAGTTCAAGGCTTTTTTGTTTTTCTTGTAATGCTTTCAAACATACACAGTATTTTCCTAGGTAATAAGCATATTTCTGTAAAAACATTTGCAAAACAAATACACCTTAAGTCAAGTCAATACAGCCTAAGTTGAGTATGAGGTTAAGAAAATCAACACAAGTGTTTCCCCCACCTTGCCCTTCATCAGCCTCTGGCCTTTCTGGAAGACTACAACACTATAAAGCTAGTGACATGACAGGGACCTAAAAAAGAAAAATGGTGATGGGATCTCTTTTCTTACTTTGTTAGCATTTGAACCATTTAAAAAAAAATCTCTACTTCTAAATTCCTTTATTCAAAATTTATTCAATGAGCTCAACAGTGAGTTAGGGCCATGAAAGGGCAGTGTCCCTGCCATCAGGGGTTAATGGTCTCCTGGAGGAGATGGGCATTTTCAGCTGCTCAGTATAACTCAGCGGAAGAGGTCTTAGGTTCTACGAAAGAGCTACAGTACAAGAGGTGGGGGAACACACTAGGAGCTCCCCCACTTCCACACCAAGAGTCAGGAAACGGTCTCAGAAAGATTCCAGCTGCTTCTTGAACGGGAAAGGGCTTTTCAGGTTGAGACTGGGTCTGTTAGTGGGGGTAAGGGATGTGAGATGTCCAAAGGACACACACTGCATATGTAAATAATCTCCCCCACTTACATCATCATAAAATAACTGTTCTGTAAAGGTAAGCCTATTAATAGGCAAACAATACTAATAATTTAGGAAAATTTCGTGTTAGGTGCTAGAGATATAAGAGTGAATCACGGATCTCAGAATTCAGTCTAGCTGGGGAAACACAATAATGTGGCAAGTTCAGAACAAAGCTATGTACCAATTGCTACGGGGCCAAGAGAAGAGAGCATCTCGGGTGACGGGTGGGTAGGACATAGTGACAGAGGTGACATTTGAACCGGGTCTCTTTAAAAGGGCAGAGGGATCATCAAATCAAACAGTCTGAGTACAGAGTGCTGTTTGTCTGACAACCAGGGTGCCACTTCAGGGGGTAAGTTGCGGGAGATTAGGACTGAAAAGGAGCCGGTCGCCAGGCAGTAAGTAAGGCAAAAGTGTGTACAGGTAGGGGGAAGCCACAGCTTTGCAACGTGACACTCACATGGTCCGATGTATAAGAAACCTATGTTTGGTACCGAGGTAGACAGGAGCCGAGGGGGCCTGGGACCTTACTTGGCACTTTCTGCACACTAGGCCCTCCGCCTTCCCTCACCACAACCCCGGGAGGCATTTTACAGCCGCAGAAGCCAAGGCCGAGAGGCGAAGCCAAGGCCGATAGGCGGGCTGCTCAGGGAGCAGGTTGCTGAGATGTCATTACAACCCAGGCTTTTCCAATTCCAAAGACAGCACGCGACCACTGCGATGTCTCACCTACCTCCAGGAGGAAGAGGACAGGGTGAGTCACGGCGATGGGCAGGGGGTAGAAGCCACTGCTTTCAAAATACCTCAAAAGCTGGAATAGTGTGTTTAGTTCTAGCCCCAGGAGCTGTTACCCTTCCCCTTTAATTAGTACCATCCCCTGCCGGCTCCACCAGCCGGCTCTGGAGAGCCTAATTACAATAAATGATAGAAATTTGTACACACACAGTCTTCCGTCCTCTTCGAGGAGATTCTTACCTTGAAATTAAAGACTGCCTTCCTGCAGAGGCTACGCAAAGCACTGGGCAAAGAATGCAAACACTACCAGACAAACCAGAAGTGTGTTTTCTCTTCATCTTTGCAAAGAAAGACAGATGTAGAATTTAAGGTGTCCAACACACACACACACACACACACACACACACACACACACACACACACACTTAGGCTTTGTGAAAAACCGAGGCGCATCTCAGGGAAGTTAAAATTTAATTGTACAAACGAAACCTAAAGGTTAAAGGTTTGTTAGATTGCTAATTACTCTGAAAGCTCTGCGTAAGCTTTGTGCTGACCGGAGGTGGACGGGGCTCTCCAGCCCCCTAGCCTGAGGGCCCTGACCGATCCCTTCTTCTTCAGTCCCTCCCTCCCAGGGTCATATGCTCCCAGCTGCAGAGTAGCCCCGAAGCACTTGAAATGTGCTTCAGGAACACCAAAATTTTCTTGTGCTTTGTATTTTATACTTAATACAAAAAAATTAAGTATCTCCCTAATTTTTACACTAAGTTGCTGAAATAATATTTTTAGCTATACTGCGCTAAATCAAGTAAATTAAAATTGATGTCACGTGTCTATTTTTACTTTTAAAACCTCTAGAAAACTTTGCTGTTATGTGTCTTGGACTGTATTTCTAATGCAGAGTCCTGCTCTAATCTGTCATTATCAGTAACCGTAACCTCATATTCTCAATTTCGTGCATTCTGTTCCAATCACCATGACTGGTCCTTTTTTTTTTTTTTTTTCTGAGGAGGGGCTAAGTGAGCAAGGGGCAGAGAGAGACAGAGGAAGGGAAAGAGAGAGAGAGAGAGAAATAGAGAGAGGCAGGGCTCATGTTCCTGGATGTTCCTTGAGTTCCTCGAACTCACAAACAGTGAGATCATGACCTGAACCAAAGTCAGATGCTTCACCACTGAGCCACCCAGGCACCCATGTCTGGTCTTTCAAGCTCACTCCTCCTCTTAATTCAAATTCTCCGTCCCCAACTGGACCTAACAGTCCAATGACACAAACACCCTTTCACTGTCACTCACTCCCCACTTCTGCCACGCTCAGCCTACACTCCGTGGTCGACCATCCCTCTCCCACATACCTCAAATCCTTTGCATCCCTCTCTCGTCCACGTGCCCATGTGACATAACATCAACCAGAATCAAATCTACTCACCTGTACTCCTGAACGTGGCTAAAGGCAACCAACCAACCAACCAACCAACCATGCCAACTGGTCTTACTGTAGAATCATGACCACTTCCTGTAGAAGCGCCCTTCATGCTGCTCAAGAGCCTTAACCTATTTCCCCACCAGAGTCCACTCTGTGCCTCTCCTCACACCTCTAAAGCCTCCTCCCTCCCTCTTTCACTGACAAAACAAACAATCAGAAGAGATTTTCCACACACTCTCACCATGATCCGCTTGCCTGCCTCCTGCTTCTGTGCCCGTGGATTCTGTCTTCCCTTCTGCTGGTCCTCGTCAAGTCTCACCCCTTCTTGCCTGCAGCAGGAATGATCACACTCTTCTTTTCTCTTTCATACTATTTATTTTTCCATCTTTATAGCACATCCCTATTAGTATATGACTGTGCTTTAATTTCTCTCATCTTATAAAAACAACTCTCCCCTGACCCCACCTTCCCTTCTGTATACTATTTACCCTTTCTCTGAGTTCCATTCCTTTAAGAGGTGTTTTATTTACTGTCTCTCACTCCTGTTCTGAGTTTCTTGAACCCATTCCAATCAGGCTTTCATCCCTTCCACTTTACCAAAACCCACTTGTTAAGGCCACCAATGACTTCCATATCTTAACTCCAAGGTCACTTCTTGGGTCTTCATTTTACCTGACTTATCAGCAAGATCAGATTAGTTGATCACTCCACCCTCCTGGAAGCACCTTCCTCACGTGGCTTCTAGAATACCACACTGGCTACTTTCCTTCCTCCTACCTTACTGGTTGCACTTTGTCTCTTCTGTGTTTTCCTATCCCATTAACAATTGAAAGCACCACTGCTTAATATTTGGGCCGTTTTTCTTCTCTGTTCTCAGCTCCTTGATATTATCTACACATCGATGAATAGCAGATATCTACCTCTACATGAAAAATGTAACATGCTCAAAACTAAACTTCTAAAATCTTCCCACTAAGTCTATTCTTCCCACAGTCTTCCCCATTCACAAAACAACAAATACACCCTTATCTTTGCTAAAGGCAAAAGCCTATAATCCATGTTGCCTCTTCAGTCCCCAGACTCAGTCTGTCAGCAAATCCCGCTGGCTTTATTTGTACCACATCTCAACTAACACTGCTACCACCCGGGTCCAAGGTGCTGTCTTTCTCACGATTATTGTAATAGCCCTGAAAGGGCATCCCCGCTTCTGTTCTTCATCTCCTACAGATTCTTCTCAACACAGCAACACAGCAACCGAAGTGATCCTCTGAAGACGCAAGTTGGATCACATCTTTCTTCTTGCACAAAATGTGATGCTGGCCTCTCATCTCACTTGCAATAAAAGCTAAAGACCTTCAACTGGACGCATGGTCCTACATTCTCTGGCCCTTGATCACCGCGGTAATGTCTCTCGTAGCTCTAGTCTTGCTCATTTTGCTCCAGGTACTTCGTCCTTTGGATCTTTGTACTTACTGTTTGTTATGCTCTTCTCCTAAGACTCTGTAAGGCTCATTCCCTCACCTCCTTCAGATTTCTGCTCCAGTAGACTCCTACCCAGTAAAGTCTTCCCCAACAGAGCCCGGCGCGGGGCCTGAAACCACAACTGGTGAGATCATGCCCAGAGCCGACGTCGGCTGCTTAACCGACTGAGCCACCCAGGCACCCCTCAACCACTTCATTTAAAACTCACAACCGGGGCGCCTGGGTGGCTTAGTCGGTTAAGCGTCCAACTTTCCCTTAGGTCATGATCTCGCGGTTCGTGGGTTCGAGCCCCGCATCGGGCTCTGTGCTGACTGCCAGCTCGGAGCCTGGAGTCAATTTCAGAGTCTGTATCTCCCCCTCTCTCTGACCCTCCCCTGCTCACGCTGTCTCTGTCTCTCTCTCCTAGAAATTAAAACAAACAAACAAACAAAAAAAAACAACCTCACAACCAAGACCCACTATTTTCCTCCACTTTGTATTTTTCCATCGCATTTAACATCACTTGCGTACCTTGTATTTCTAATTTGTCAACTCATCCAACAAGGATGAACTTTGTTCCTACCTCGTGCCACATGTGCCCGACTCGCTGGTGATACACGTAAAAATAAAAGACAAAAATTCCTATGTCTTGAACCTTACACTACATGGGACGTGAAAGCCATACCGACTTCTACAAGTCAGCAAAATATATACTAAATAGTGACAAAGCTGGGGGCGCCTGGCTGGCTCAGTCGGGGGAGCCAACACGGCTTGAGCTCGGGGCTGTGAGTCTGGGTCCCACATTGGGTGTAGAGATTACTTCAACAACAACAATGACAAAGCTAAAGGAGAAACCATAAAAGGAAAGAATAGATTTCTCTGTCTCTTCCCTAGAATGTAAACTTTTTGAGGGTAAGACTGGTGTTCCGTTCCTGCTGTGTCTTCTGTGACCAGAGTGCCCAGTAGAGGGTGGGTATTCAACTCACATTTCTGAATGAAATCCAAGGCGGCTACTCAGTTACTTGGCACATTTTCTACTCTTTAAGAACAATAATACCAAATAAGAACACCGTTATCAGCCGGGCTCCGATCCGACGGATAAGTGGCGCTAATCTTTGGGAGCATGCCTTCCAACTCCTTACGCTCAATTTTCAAAAAATCCTTGAGGTAACCGCTATGTAGTGGCTCAGAATAGGGTTCACTAAGTGTTTATAGATTGTGTGTTTTTTTTTTTTTTTTTTTTTTTACTCCCAGCCAAGTCAACCAAAGATCACCGCAGCGGTACCGGAGGGGACCCGAGCGGTTCAGAGCTGCCCGGTGCAAAGGTTGGGGCCCCGGTGCAGGACCACGCAACCCGCTAGGGAAAGGCGGTGCACTAACCTCTCCGCCGGCAGACACGAGGGATGTGCCAAGCGCGCAGGCTTCCGTGACCCGGCTGCAAATGACGCAGAGCAGCGACCGCAGCTCCCGCTTCCCGCAACCACCTCCGCCGCTCCGGAGACCCTCCCAGCGCCCGCACTGCGCAGGCGCACAGAACTGCGGGCGGGCAGAGCGCAAGCCGCCCGCTGCACGTGATCGCCGGACCACGTGACCCGCGTCGCCGCGACCTTTTCCGCTCCCCAGTGCCTGGGTCCTCCCGGTCCCTGCTTGCTTCCGCCTCCGCCCACTTCCTTATTCCGCTGCTCTCGTCACCCTCAGCTGTCCCCGCCCTCGTCCCCGGAAGATCTCCGCGTCGTCGAGCGCGCCGTTGTTTGTCTATTCTACGGGCACCAAATAAAGTTTCCTCATTCAAAAGCATTTCTGTAGCCCACGCCCCTCCCTTTCTCAGCTCCTCCTTCGCGCGGGCACCGCCTCTCTTCCTGCGGCGGGTGCGACGCGAGCTTGGGCGCCGGCAGCTTGGAGACTATGGCGGTTCCTCCGGCGTCCCTCTCGGGACGGGACGTAGGGTTCGTGTCGCTTTCCTCGCCCAGTCCCTCCGCTCCTCTTCCTGCTCCGCGCGTTTGCGGAAAGCCTGGCCTCGCCGGGAACCCCTGGGTTGCCATCGGGGGAGCTGCGTTGGGCCGATGGGCCCCGCTCCCGGGCGCGTCGGCTCGGCTTCCTCCGACGCCGGGGAGCGAGGCGGCCCGGGACGGGGGACGAGCCCGCTGGCTGCGGCTGCCCGCCGGACTGCGGGCCCGGCTCGGCTGCCCGCCTTCTCCCTGGGCTCTGGGAGCGGACTGCGCGCCCCGCCGGAGTCCTCGGGTCACCCCGTCGGAGTCCTCGTTCGGGCCTTTCCGTGGCTTGGGTTTTAACTTGTGGGGTCTTTCAAGTGATCGACGCTGCTGCTTTTTTACTCCTCGTGACTGTCGTGCGAGTGTATGCCTCCTCTGTTCCCTTTCAGGGTGTTGCAGCGGCATGGCTTTAATCATTTTTCATTTATTTCATAAACGCACTTTTGGGGGGCTAAAATTTTCTGCAAAAGTTAGGAATCTCCTTGCTATCGAGAAATGTGTTTCTTCCTGTTGCAGATGAGATTAGTTTGTGGTCTCGCTATTAATGCCTGCAGCTTTTCGCCTTTTTCGCGGCACCAGATTTCTACATCAAGTTGTGGACGACCGTAAAAAATACGTATTTATATAAATTGAATGGCCAAATTTATATTTGATATAGGTCCTACTGCGAAACACCGGGGGAGGGAGGGGGCAGGTGCGTAGGAGCTATTAGAGGAAATTGACCTTGTTCAGAGTGGACTGAGGCCCGAGAGGCAATGGTGGCCCCGAATTGAAGCAGATACTCATTGAGAGTTATGCAAATTAGAAGGGAGTGTGCAGAACCGTAAATTTGGAGTCCTACGTTCCTCTGGCTCCACCCTAGTCCTAACCTGGGACTTGACCCTCGCAGATGCAGGCCACTGAAGAAATCCTGAGGACATTTGGTACTGTTGACCTTTGCGCAAGGTTGGGGGGGGTCAGTTGTCGTTAAGGGGCCCTGACACCCCTCCTCCTCCCTTCCCCCAGTGGAAATTCTGCATATAACTTTTGACTCCTCCAAAACTTAAATTCTGCACTTTGTGTCTGGTGATCTGAAGATACAAACGAACTGATCAACTATATTTTGAGCTCTAAAAATGCACAAAATTTCATCACTTACTAAAGTCTGTTTTTTCTAACTGAATCCTATGCAGTTGCCTAAAAAATTGTTTCTATATGAAATGATAGTCTGCAAATCTTGATTTTTGTAGGTCTAAAACAAAATATCTTAATTTTTTTTAATGCAAGTATGGTCACGTTTTTCCTCCAGCTTTTTTCATTCTTTGACACTTCTAGAAAATTTCTTGATTTCTTTGGTTGGGAAAGTGAAATAAATGGTAAGTAACATCTTGTTTGGGAGCAGAGTAGGATGGAAGGAGTCCTTGTGCAGGTAAAGGGAGCAGAAAAAATCGTAAACCTTTGAAAAGAAAAAAAATTGGCTAAGAATGTCGACTAAGAGAAAAGGGAGTAGCAGGTTCATAAGTAGCTTTCATTCTTTATGTTCTAGTACGTGAGAGACCTTCATGCACTTTTACATCCATTGCCTGGTTCAACTTTCCAAGTAGGTGAAGTCAGTAATAACCCTGGAGCTAGATCCTGTTTGATATTTAAGATGATTCTTTTTCTGTCCTTCTTGTAGTTAAACTAGTTTCTTATGCAGGAAAATAAAAGGATTAGAATGGGAAAGATAAGATTGATGGGAACAGGTGCGCCTGGGTGGCTTAGTCAGTTGAGCGTCTGACTTTCGCTGAGGTCATGATCGCGGTTCCTGGGTTCGAGCCCCGCGTCGGGCTCTGTGCTGACTGCCAGCTCAGAGCCTGGAGCCTGCTTCAGATCCTGTGTCTCCCTCTCTCTCTGACCCTTCCCTGCTCACACTGTCTGTCTCTCTCTCTCCTAGAAATAAATAAAACATTAAAAAAAAATTAAAAAAAAAAAAAAGATTGATGGGAACAGGCTCAAGGGGAGAATCTGGGATTAGAGGCACAAAGACTGTTCGCTTTCATGACACGTGTAACACCAGAGAAATTTGCAGATTTTCCTGTCTTAATGTAGTAGTCAAACAATGCTGGCTTACTGTATAATCCTTGTATGAAAGGGATTTGAATTCAAATGAGCTGTTCTAGAAACAATGATGGCCAATGTGCTGGTATTAATGCTAAGTAACATACTGTGTATGTGGCTCTCTTTTCTAGATCATTCGCATATCTTACAATTAAAGACAGAATACCACAGATCTTAACCAAAGCTATTGATACATTGCATCGACATAAAAGTGAATTTTTTGAGAAACACGGAGAGGTAATATTGTGTTTTAACTTTTTTTGTTAACTCTTTAACAGAAACACAATAACCCTTTCTTGTCTGTGGTAATGATCATTACTCCTGAAGATAAGAACTCTTGGTCTTAAGAAGAAGCTTAAAAAGGCAGAATAGATAAGACAGGATAATGTATGTCCTCTTTGATTTTTAACTTAAGAATTCTGAATATCCATGTTTATATTAGTTTGTAAAAGACATAAAACGTAGCTTTGAAATCTAGTATTTTTTTTCCTTCTTTAGAATCTTAAAAATATGTTACCCTAGAGGACTTCTTCCTGTATAAATTAACTGTTTACGTATGTATATTTAAATATAGAGCATTCAGATATGCTTTTGAATATTTAAACATTTTTTTTCCTGTTTCTGCAGAAAGGCACAGAAGCTGAAAAGAAAGCAATTTCTCTTCTTTCTAAATTACGAAACGAATTGCAAACAGATAAACCAATAATCCCCTTTGTTGAGAAGTTTGTTGATACTGACATATGGAATCAGTACCTAGAATATCAACAGAGTCTTATAAATGAAAATGATGGGAAACCCAGGTGGTTTTATTCACCTTGGTTGTTTGTAGAGTGCTACATGTATCGTAGAATTCATGAAGCAATTATCCAAAGGTAAGTATATAACATCAGCTGATACATGTTTAGAGAACTTAACGCTTTTACAAAATTATAGAATGAAAAGTTTAAACAGTGGAAGCCAGAATTCAGTACAGCAAATATTAATGGCAGGATCAGATATTTCTACAGATGTTATCAATATAGTAAATTCTTAGCAATTATAACTGAGTTGCTTAGAATTCAGCTATTCTAATAGCTGAATAAAATAATATCGGAATAAAAATTCTTATGAAGACTGTAGAGTAAAACGAATTGTACCAGGACACCTGGGTAGCTCAGTTGGTTGAGCGCCCCAACTCTTGACTGTAGCTTGAGCTATGATCCCAGGGTCATGGGATCGAGCCCTGCATTGGGCTCTATGCTGAGTGTGGAGCTTGCTTAAGAGTCTCTCTTTTTCTTTCTCTTCCCTCCTCCTTCTCTCCCTCTCTCCCATTTACAAGCCTCAAAAAGAAATTAGTCTCCTTTTTTAGCCATTTTTCATTTTTTATTTAAAAAAAAATCTTTTACTCCATTTGATTTGCGCACATCATTCTCCTGAAATTGCTCTGAGTGACCCTGGGCTCTACATGAACCCCAGAGGAGAACAAGGCACTGTCACTGACAGGGCGTTTAGTAGTGTGCCCCGGGTGCTGAGGAGAATTCCAAAAGTGCTTGAACAAGGGCGGCATCCTCGGAATAAGGGTCTCGCTTCCCAGGGTGACTGACTGGAAGGAGACAGCAACCATGTGGATGTATGCATTCTGGTGTGTGTTTGTCTGTTTTTTAAGTCAGTCCCACTGCAGTCACATTGTTTTTATCCTGAGGTAGATGATCCAAGGAAGAAGTTGCTAATTTAGAAGATCACATTATCTGGGGCACCTGGGTGGCTCAGTCGGTTAAGCGTCTGACTTCAGCTTAGGTCATGGTCTCAAGGTTCATGAGTTGGAGCCCCATGTCAGGCTCTGTGCTGATAGCCTGGGCCTTCTTGGGATTCTGTGTCTCCCTCTCTCTGCCCCTCCCCCGCTCTCAAAAATAAAAATTGCAAAAATCAGATGAGCTGAATGCCTTGTATATTTGGTTTTGTAAAGTCCATGATGTTCTTATTTATGCCTTGCTAGTTCTGTTTCTCTTGGGCTGCCATTATTTGATCTCTCATTTGGAAAACTTAAAGACCTAGCCTCAGCACATACATCACCACCGGTCAGAGTCCACTTGGGAGTAAAGGTTGCCCTAAAACCCCCCAGAAAACTACACATACATGATGAAATTTGTCATTATAATAAAATTTATTATCGTGAATTTTCTCTCTGATTTCTCTCAAGTAGTTGCTATGTTCCCAAAGTGCTCGATGTTTCACTCTCTTGGTGACTAGCACATTGTATTCAAATATTTATATGCATATGTTTGTAACTTAGAACACTGTCACATTTAGCACCCAAAAAATGTTTGCTAAACTAAAGCAGTTATCTTAAAGTTTTGTTTCTCTCTCCTTTTACTGTACCGGTAAATAATTTTGGATAGAGTCACTATAATTATTTAAAATTCCAGTAAAATCTTGACTAGGGGACTCCTGACAGTTAACTAAAATGAGTTTGGGGATTTATTTTTTGTGTAATTGAATTGATTTAGTGTGTGTAATTAGGTAATTATTCATTTTTCTGTAATAGATCTGTATTATATGTAGTATCTGTTACCACTAATTTTTGAGACTAGATGACTCTCCTCTCTTTCCTTTAAAGAACTGCAGTTACCCAAATGTTAAAAAAAAAAAAAAGAAGGTACTGAGTTATATGAATTTTCCCTTACGTTTTTCTCTTCCTGTAGTCCACCAATCGATGACTTTGATGTATTTAAAGAATCCAAAGAGCAAAATTTCTTTGAGTCCCAGGAATCTATCATCGCTTTGTGTACTCACCTACAAGAGTTGATAAAAACTATCAAAGACCTGGATGAAAATCAGCTGAAAGATGCATTTTTCAAACTTCTTCAGGTAAACGTGATAATTAATCTCCTGTATTTCAACAGTTAAAAAACAAACCGGTGTTGAGTTAGCAGCAAAACACGTGTGTGTGTGTGTGTATACATATATATGCGTGTGTGTGTGTTATCTAAGTTATAATTGATAATTTTTTATCATGTTAGTAATCGTGTTATTCAAGAGATAAAAACCCACTGAGTCTCTGAAAATGAGTTTTGAAATTTCTTCCACTGGAGGTGATGTTAGTGGTGTGAGAGTCCTCTGGCTTCATGGCGTCTGTCACTCTTGAGAGAACGCCTCCCAGCCGTTTGGTCGGCCTACCCTGACCTGGGCTTGAGTGCCGCTTCTGTCACTTAATTTGTTGTTGGACCTGAGGCAAGTTACGTAATTTCTCTGAGCTACAGTTTTCTCATCTGTTAACCAAGGACGGCATCATATACCTCATCATTTGACACGAGAAGGAAATGGTGTGGAGCACAGAGCCTAGAACAGATGGCCTCCTGCTTCCGTCAGGTGGAGCCACTGAGGTGCTCCGTGGTCTGTTTAGTATGACTTTATTACGCCTCTTCATCTGTCTTATATTGCATTTCGCTTTTAATTCTCATTCAAAACATCTGAAGATTTAAGATCTCTTATTAGAATCAGAGCTGTTTGAAAATACGTAGTTTTACACAACAGATCGTATCCCCAGCCCTCATCTCCCAGAAGAAGTTAGAAGCATCCCCGGAAAGAGATGTTATTAGAAAATGCTGAGAAAGAAGATAAAACAGGGTAGTAGAGCCCGGTGGGTGGGGGAGATGCAGGGGTGTTATAGTGGGGCTGCCAGGGAGGGACCTCTGTGAAGGTGACGGGGAAAGACCTGAGGGGGGTGAGGGCGTGGGCCCCACGCATGTCTAGGGGAGCGTTCCTGCTGCGTGACCGGCGGGTGTGTGAGAGAAACTGCTGGGGTCCTGCAGGAAACGAGCAGGTGAGGGGGCTGGGGGGGCCCCCGAGGCCTTGTAAGCCAAGGTCAGGGTTTTGGTGTTTTCTCGCACTGGAGTCACTGGAGAGCTATTAGAGCGTCTTCGTCAGAGGAGTATCAAGGATTGACTTGTTTCAAGGGTTACTTCTCAGGACACACTGAAGGGGTACAGGGCCACACACCAGGAAGTCTGTTACTAAAATGACCCAGGCAAGAAGACATGTTAAATGTCACCAGCATTCGGGAAACACTTTGAATGTAGAGACTGCAGAGTCCTCTGATAAAACTTTGAGGGCAAGCGGAGTAGGCTGCATGGTTGAGAGGGGACGGCTTGCTTTGAGTTTGGAAGAAAAGTTGTCAGGGTATTGTTGAATCACAAGCCTAGTTATTCCTCTATTCTTAGCTTTGACTTAAAAAAAGAAGAAAAAGGGAAAGCCATAGTCATGCCAGTGTTGACCCCTAGCTGGCCCGTTGTTTCCGGGAATAGTCCTTCAGTATGTCCTTGTCCCATATGTATAATCAATTGTGAAGAAGAAAGAATACCGCTCTCTTTTCTGTCATCCAATGTGGCCAAGTAAAGGAGGCCAAAGTTGCCTTCCATTAGCACTCATGACGGATGACCAGCAGGATAGCTCCCTACCAGAAACCTGACCGTGTTCTAGTTCGCAGGGAACATTAATCTGTTTTTCGAAGCCGTAGAATTCCACTACTGTCCGCACAGACAGTTCATATCCGCTCTGTCTGAGTGGATGCTGGGCGTGCGATGGTGGGAAAATCAGCACTTGCTATCACGGAACTTGTAACCTTGACGGAATATAGATGGCCAATTAATGGCACAAATTAATGTAGAATTACAGACCAGAAGATGGTGTCCGGGAAACGTGCAGGGAGCCGACAGAGACGCTGACCTCAGCTGAGGAGTGCCGTGCCCTACGCCACTGTTTCTTTGTCATATGGACACTTAGCCGTTTAAGCCTTGCGCTTAAAAAATGCCATTCGTTTATCTTTTTATTTTTTTAAGTTTATTTATTTATTTGGAGTGAGAGAGCATGAACGAGGTAGGGGCAGAGAGGGAGGGACAGAGAGAGAATCCCTGTGTGAGGCTCGATCGCACAAACCATAAGATCATGCCCTGAGCCGAGAGCAAGAGTTGGATGCTTAACTGACTGAGCCCCCTCCAGGTGCCCCCGTTCATTTGTCTTTTTAAAATAATATCCTTGGGGCACCTGGGTGGCTCAGTCGGTTAAGCATCCAACTTCAGCTCAGGTCATGATCTCACAGTTCATGGGTTTGAGCCCCGTGTCAGGCTCTGTGCTGACAGCTCAGAGCCTGGAGCCTGTTTCAGATTCTGTGCCTCCCTCTCCCTGACCCTCCCCTGCTCACACTGTCTCTCTGTCTCTCTCTCAGAAATAAATTAAAAAAATTAAACAAATTTTAAAATAATATTCTTGGTCGGGACATGCATTTTCCTCTTCTTTTGAGTCATATGAGTAGAGTCTGTTTTGGCCAGTATTTATTGAGTATTGGGTATATTATTTAGACATACTATGTCAGTTAACTTTCGCCCTAACTCTACAAGGTAAGTGGTGCTGTTATATCATTTTTCCGTTACGGGACCTGAACCTTAGAGATCATATGTGATTTACCAATGGTCAGTAATTGGAAATGCTGGGACTCGAACCCAGGTCTAATTCCAGACCCTGTAACTCCTAAGCATGTAATTTTAATTATAGCTTTAAAAGTGGGGGGGGGGTACTGCATACCATTTTTTATAAAATAAACTTAAATATTATTTCAGTTGAAAAGTGGAATAACAGATGGTTAGAGTTGGAGAGGTCTTTAGACATCACCTTGCCCAAGTTCTTTATTTTACAAGTAAGAGAAGTAAATCCCAGAGAAGTTGCCTGGCCCTAAGTTTTATACAACTAGTGAAAGAAACTGAGCAGTTTGGGTAGGAGTGGGGGAGGGGAAAAGGACTTATTTTTCTCTTGACTTTGGATTTTTAAATAAACTTTGTAGCCTTTTTTCACAATGTGAGCATATTCTATTTTCTGCAAGATGCAGAATCATTCTGACTAAGCAACACGGATCGTTAACATCATTCAGATCAGTTTTTTAAAAAGTTTACGCCATAGGGACCACTTCAGTGTTTCATTGTCTTAACCTCTGTTTGTACATCAGGATGTAAACACTCTTTGCATTCTTAGAGTGTAGATCTGATGGATATTTTGTGTCAAGAGTGTTGCAGAAGAACATTTTATGAATAGTTTTAGCAACTCCTTGCCCCACATTTTACATCACAGAGTTTTTGTTGGTTATTCAATAGGAGGGTAAAACCTTTGTACTTTTTCTTTTTCAGATTTCACTGTGGGGAAATAAGTGTGATCTATCCCTATCGGGCGGGGAAACCAGTTCTCAGATAACCAATATAATAAATTCTGTGGAGGAACTAAAACCTTTCATTTTAGTGAATGACATGGAACACCTTTGGTCACTGCTTAACAACTGCAAGAAAGCAAGAGAAAAAGCGTCTGTCACTAGAGTTGATATTGTTCTGGACAATTCTGGGTTTGAACTCATTACGGATTTAGTCTTAGCTGACTTTTTGCTGTGCTCTCAACTGGCTACTGAGATCCATTTTTATGGAAAAATTATTCCGTGGTTTGTTTCTGATACGACTATCCACGATTTTAACTGGTTAATCGAGCAAATGAAAGATTCTGATCACAAGTGGATGGCCAGGTGCGGGGCCAGCTGGGAAAACTATATTACAACGGGCAGATGGGTTTACCACGATCATATGTTTTGGACTCTTCCTCACGAATTCTGGGTCATGTCTCAGGTCGCCCCTGACCTTTATGCTGAACTACAAAAGGCACAGTTAATTTTGTTCAAGGGGGATTTGAACTACAGGAAGCTGACGGGCGATAGGAAGTGGGGGTTCACCATTCCGTTCCACCAGGCCCTGGCCGGCTTCCACCCTGCCCCGCTCTGCAGCGTGAGGACACTGAAGGCCGAGGTGCAGGTGGGGCTGCGGCCCGGCCAGGCCGAGCAGCTGGCAGCCTGCGAGCCCAGCTGGCTGACCACTGGGAAGTATGGGGTATTCCAGTTTGATGGTCCGCTCTGACCTGCTGTAGAAACCCTCAAGTTGTACGGAAAACCTGACAGACGCTTGGCACCCCCAGCAAGGCAGGTGCGGGTTTGGTCGCGATGCCGCTGTGCGTGGCGGTGGGGAGCTTGGCTTCTCGGTGCTCGTGAACGTGTGCTCTGGACGCCTTTCTCTTGGAGCGCTTCGCCCCACCGTGTTATCTGGGGGGTAGAAGGAGTAAGCTAGTTCCAGAGAGTCACATTTATGTTGGCATTTTAGTGTCTTTCGAGTTCAATTCGTAATGTCAAGTGGTATTCATGAACTTATTTTTAATTGGGCAGAAAGTAAAATATAAGTGAATTCTGCATTTAAAGTTTGTCAACATTCTTTTGATGCTATGCTGCATGGTATTTAATATTCTAGGAGAGCATGGGGTTTTATTTGGCTTGTTTTGAGGGCTCTAAAAAGAAGGGCTCTGGGAAAACATTTTAAATATGCTTTGAAAAGAGGCATTTCTTACAGCTGTGATATTTGAACAGTGAAAGTAAAGATTACCTCGTAAGTTAATTTTCAGTTTTGTTTTCCTTGAATTTTATTTCCTTTTAAATGCTCTATTTTATTTGCATGCATTTGTATTTCAATTGACTTGCGGAATGGACAGCAGGAAACCCAAAATTGAACTGGTATTTAACTGTGATACCTTTTACATTCTATTTGCAATATCCATGATCAACTGAACTGTATTATTTTAACACATAAGTGCTTTAAATGAACAGATTTTTAGATTGTTCTGCAGTTTTTAAAAAAATGCTTTAGATCACAAAGATTCTTGTGCATTGAATTTGGAGTACTTCCCAACAAGTTAATTTTTTACATGCTTACACTTTCTGGTGACCACTTGATCTTGAAGACTAAAAGTTTCAGGTCAGTTTGTTTTGAAACTGAAATCAGAAATAAACCTGAAATGTTTTCTTGAACTGGTATAATAAAATGAATTGTATTGAAACTACAATATAATAAATTGAATTGTATTGAAAATCTTGTTGCTTTTATTTTTTCCAGTGGGTGAGAGTCAAGGAGGGAAGATTAAGTATGAAGTCTCTCTAAGAATGAAACTCATAGGGGCGCCTGGGTGGCTTAGTCGGTTAAGCGTCCGACTTTCGCTTAGGTCATGATCTCGCGGTTCGTGGGTTCGAGCCCCGCATCGGGCTCTGTGCTGACAGCTCGGAGTCTGGAGCCTGTTTCAGATTCTGTGTCTCCATCTCTTTCTCTACCACTCTGTCTCAAAAATAAGTAAATTTTAAAATTAAAAAAAAAAATCTCATAATGTATATTGTACATGTTGCCAAAGCAGTTCTTAAATTATGTTACCTATAAATAAGGTTAGTCTAAATGAGGTTATAGTCTAGGACCTTGCTTAGCGGTCTTAAAAAGTTATGTAAAATGTTTATATAAAGCTGCACATTTTGAATTTACTCTTATCTACGTGTGTTCCTGTTTTAAACCTTAAGCTACTAAAATACTGAGCATATTAGAATGATTTAGAAAATGAGATAAGTTAGAAAATGGGTATATTTGTATTGACTTTATAGCCATAGTGTAATTGCGTTTTCCAAAGCAATGGATTTCTTGTTGTCGTTTTTATTATGTGTTCTTAAGAACATGAACTTGGGATTTGTGAGGAGCCAGTTCACCGGTGCCTAGAGGAGCATGGAAGCAAACGCGCAAGATGGAAGTTTAAAAAATGCTCAGCAGGGGTAGGACACCCCTCTAGTTTCACCAGTTGACTTTTTTTTTTTATTGAAGTTTAGTTGATACACAACGTTACATTAGTTTCAGGTGTGCAACACAGTGATTGAACAACTCTGCTCACAAGTGGGGCTCCCATCGGTCAGCACACAACACTGTTACACACCATTGACTCGACTCTGCTGCACCTTCCATCCCCCTGGCTTATTCATTCCGTAACTGGAAGCCCATACCTCCCACTCTCCTTCACCGCTTTTACCCACCCCCCAGCCCCCTCCCCTCTGGCAACCATCAGTTTGTTCTCTGTATTACATGTTTCTGGGGCGCCTGGGTGGCTCAGTCAGTTGAGCGTCTGACTTTGGTTCAGGTAGTGATCTCACGGTTCATGAGTTCAAGCCCTGCGTTAGGCTTAGTGCTGACAGCACAGAGCCTGCTTTGGACTCTCTGCCTCCATCTCTCTCTGCCCCTCTCCCCACCCTCCTTTAAAAATAAACATTAAAAAAATCTGCCTTTCCATATACAAGTGAAATATGGTTATTTGTCTTCCGATGGCTTATTTCACTTAGCATAATCTTGTTTAGGTCCATCCATGTTGCAAATGGCAAACCTCTTTTTATTTTTTTTATTTTATGGGTGAGTGATGCTGTGTGAGTGTGTACATGTAGCATCCTTAGCCAGTCTATCAGTAGACACTGGTTGTTTTCATATCTTGGCTATTGTCAATAATACTACAGTAAACATAGGGGTGCATTTATCTTTTTCAATTACTGTTTTCTTATTCTTTGGGTAAATATCCAGTAGTGGAATTACTGGGTATATTATATTCCTGTGTTTAACTGTTTGGGGGGCCCTCCATACTGTTTTCCACAGTGGCTGCGCCGATTTGCCTTCCCACCAACAGTGCACGAGGGTTCCTTTTTCTGGTTTTTGAATTTTTTATTTTAATTTTGTTTGTTTATTTTTGAGACAGAAACAAAGCATGAATAGGGGAGGGGCAGAAAGAGAGGGAGACACAGAATCCGAAGCAGGCTCCAGAGCCATCAGCTTGAACTCATGAACTGTGAGATCATGACCTGAGCTGAAGTTGGACGCTTAACCAACTGAGCCACCCAGGTGCCCTTGGTTTTGAATTTTTTAAAGCCAGCTTTCTTGAGATGTAACTCACATACAATGCATCCATTTCATGTGTACAGTATTTAGTATATTCATAGTTGTGGCAACCATCACCAGAATTAATTTCAAAACGTTTTTGTCCCCCCTAAAAGAAACCCAGTACCCGTTAGCAGTCACTCCTCATTCTCTTCTCAGCACTCGGCAACTAGCAATTTTCTTTTGGTCTCTATGGATTTGCCTGTTCCGGACATTTCCTATAGAAATAAGAATCAGAAACTATGTGGTCTTTGTGACTCGCTTCAAGGTCATCAACTGTAGCTCACATCAGTACTTCATTTTTATTGCGTCATTACATGGATAGAACACGTGGACTTGCCCCATGTCCATCAGTGGATGGATGTTTGGAATATTAACCCTTTTTTGACACTTAGGACTAATGCTGCTATGAACACTCACATAACGTGTGTGTGTGTGTGTGTGTGTGTGTGTGTGTGTTTTCAGCCTTCTTGGGTATATAACCAGAAGTACATGCTGGAGCCCGTGGCAGCTGTGTTTAACCTTCTGAGGAACTGCCAAACTTCCAAAGTGTTGGTGATGTTTTACATTCATCCAGCAATGCAGGAGGCCTCCGATTTCTCCATATCCTTGTCAGCACTTTTTATGGTATGTTTTTTATTGCAGCAGTGCTACAGGGGATGAAGTAGTATCTCATTGCGGTTTTGATTTGTATTTCCCTAACGGCTAATGGTGAGCCTATGTGAACATATTTGTATGTACTGATTGGCCATTTGCATATCTTCTTTGGAGAAATGTCTTTTAATTCGTTTGCCCATTTTCAAATTAGATTATCTTTTTATTACTGAGTCGTAAGAGTGTTTATGTATTCTGCATACAAATCTCATCAGATACATAATTTGCAAATATTTTCTCCTATACCAAGGGTTGTTCTTTCACTTTCTTGATGGTACTGTTTGCAGCACCAAAGTTTTCTATTTTGATAAAGTCCTTTTACATATTTATTTTTGAGAGACAGAGAAGGAGTGGGAGAGAGGCAGAGGGAGAGGGAGACACAGAATGCGAAGCAGCCTCCAAGCTCTGAGCTGTCAGCACAGAGCCCTACAGGGGGCTCAAACTCATGAACTGTGAGATCATGACCTGAGCCAAAGTGGGATGCTTAACCGACTGAGTCACCCAGGCACCCCTGTATTTTCTCTCTTGTTGCAAAGCCTTGGTTTTTGAACTGGTTCTTTAAAAAATTTTTTTAAATGTTTTTATTCATTTTTTGAGGTAAAACCAGAGTGTGAGCAGGAGAGGGGCAGACAAAGAGGCAGACATAGAATCTGAAGCAGGCTCCAGGCTCTGAGCTATCAGCACAGAGCCTGACATGGGGCTCGAACCCATGGACTGTGAGACAATGACCTGAGCTGAAGTCAGACTTTTAACCAACTGAGCTGCCCAGGTGCCCCTTGAACTGCTTCTTAACATCCACTTCAGGGCCATTGCAGTGAGGGATGGAAACACCCATCGGTCAGGGCTCTGCCTATACTCTTCTGCTCCCCCACATATTTCAGCCCAGCAGGCTTGGAGGTCAGTTAGGGGTGGGGTTCCCACTGAAGAGCTGAGTGATCTTGGGAGACTTGCCCAAAATAGCATCTGCAAGTGTTTCAACTGCTGATGTCACACTTGGTTAAGTATGAAGTAGCTCCTGAATACAGCAGCTTCTACATTTCATGCAATACATTTTTATTAAGACATAAATCCAGTATCTTATGTATATTATGATGGAAATATGGTTAAAGGGCAGGTAAATCATTAGGTGAGGATGGTAGTTTATACTCCGTGGGTTTGTGTTACTTTATTGATGAAACAGCAATGGACAAGATTTTTTTTAATGTTTATTTTTGAGAAAGAGAGACAGAGTGTGAACAGGGGAGGGACAGAGAGAAAGGGAGACGATGAATCTGAAGCAGGCTCCAGGCCCAGATCTATCAGCTCCAAGACCCATGCGGGTCCTGAATTCACGGACCACGAGATCATGACCTGAGCCAAAGTCGGATGCTTAACCAACTGAACCCAGGCGCCCCAGCGAATGAACAAGATTTATTGAAATGATCCAGCTTTTTTTTTTTCTTTTATAATTTGAGGTGTATTTTGTGTTGGATACAATGCAGTAATGTTTTTGAATCTTTATCAAGCCAGACCCTGTTAGTTCAACCTCAAGGTCGTGTTTCTATAAAAGAAATACCACAAAAGACACTATCAACATAGTTCAAGCTCTACTTATATTTTAAGAAAACTCCAGAGTGGATCAAAAGCATAATTCAGAGTTATATTTATTAAAAGTCCCTCTCCCACCCATTTTCCTGTCCAAACCCCCACTGAGTTTTGTTCTGGAAACTCTCCTTTTGTAAAACTTTTCTTCCCTCCCCCCTTTTTTTCTGGACTGGAGGGTAGGGAATGGGGAGACTGAACACTTTCTACACATGCATCTCTTATTTCTTAAATGAAGCTTTAATGTAATGTCTGACTCTTACCGTAAGCAATCGGCGATGTCTTGAAATAATAGAAAATGAATAAAGCAGAAGGGGAAAATGGGAAAAACAAGAAGGGAATCTTCTCACCTTCAGATACCCCTGTTGATTTAAGTTTGTTTATTTTGAGAGAGAGAGAGAGAGAGAGGCAAAGAGAGATGGAGAGAAGGTATCCCAAGCAGTGCAGAGCCCGATGTGGGGCTCAAACTCGTGGAACCGTGAGATCATAACCTGAGCCGAAATCAAGAAATCAAACCCTTAACCAACTGTGCCTCACAGGCGCCCCTTTATGTATGATTTCTAAGTTTTCTTCCATAAACAGACATATTTTCTACGTTTGTATGATTTAAGAAAGTAGGATCATACTGTCTGAAAAATAATTGTTTTAAAAATTCTGAAGTATTTTTTCCAACTCCTGAAGTTTTTGTCTGATTAACTGGTTTCATTATTATTCTTGTTGTCATTTATTTCTCGTTCGCTGATTAGTTCCTGCTGGAGGGCTAGAAGTTTGGGGGGGGGGTGTTTTTTCCGTTTGGGTAGCAGTGTGGCCTGGGACTCATAAATACTTGATTTTTAATCCCTGGTCCCCTATTAATCCTGTAACCTGTCACATTC